ACAAGGTCGAGTAAAGGAGGGTAGAGCCTTCCACTGTATGTTCCTGGCGTAGTGCTGATCCTACACGGAGTGGCCATCCAGGGTCAGTGTGGTTGGTTTGGGGGGCCCTCTTGGGCAGTTTCGGGGGCCTTCTTGACGCCGTGCTGACTCGACAAGGCGAACCAGTTGTTCGACGATATTGGCTGGTCGGAGACTTTCTTGGAGTCTCTTGTAGTCTCGTGAAGCCTTTCGAGGGCTTCTTTGGACCTATTGGGTCGTGTTGGAGGCCTCTTCGGCTGTTCCGAGTACCTCCTGGAGCTGGCTTGAACCCTCTTGGGTTGTCTTGGACGCTTCTTTTGGGCCGGAAGGCTGATATTAGATACTTGTTTCAAGCATAGCGGGAAGCTTGAGCCGCTAGAGCCGTTTGTTGCTTGCACTGTGGCTTGCTGTCGCTCGCTGGCATTGCATGGCATTCGGCCCAAACCGCAACCGTGCCTGGGTTATGGGTCAGAGTTCTCATGGGTGCTTCTCCAGTTCTCCTCTGAGCGCTCTCGGGGTCTGCGACTCGGGGCCCTTTTTGATCGACTTGGGAATCTCTTCGAGCTCTCTTGGCCCGTCTTGGAGCACTGTTGGGCTCAAAAAGTCATGCGACAAGCCGCGGGGAACCGCAACAAGCCCCAGTAGATTTGACAATTTGGTAGATTTAGTCGTTGCGGATTTGCTGTCGGTATTATGTTGTTTCTTTCTGCTTCTCCAGCGCATCCCTGGTTGTTGCTATTTTTCGGTATGTGCTTCCATTGGGTTCTGACTCGGGCTTTCTTCACGCCTCTTCGGACCTCTCTTGGGGCCTCTCGTGCGTGTTGTGTTTCCAACTCTCTTAGGGCTTGTTGGGCAGTCTCGGAGCCTTCCGATCCGTTTCGGGATCCCCTAGGACTCCAGTGCCGTCTGGAAGCTCTCTTGAGGTTTCTTGCGGGCCTCTTCTGGGTCTGTCGGGCTCTCTTGGGTTGTTTTGTCGCAGTCTTGGGACGCATTGGGGCTGCGTGCTGGCCTCCCCTAGAGGCCCTCCTGAGCCGTCTCGAGGGTCTATTGGGGCGCTACTCGCATGTGACTGGTGGTCGCTGGGACCTTCCCAGGGGAGTGCGGGAGCCCTCCGAGGTCCTCTTGAGGCAGTGGTGGGCCGAGAAGGCGTTAGATGGGGCCGGAGTAGATGGGGTCGGAGGATCGCGCCGCATCGCCGATGCATCGGCGATGCAGCGCGATGCGGAGCCCGATTTTCTCCACGCCGGCGTCGCCGATGCATCGCCCACGTCGCCGGTGCAGCGCCAGTGCATCGCCGACGCAGCGCCGATGTTTCGGCGCGATCCTCCGACCCCATCCACTCGGACCCCGTCTGGGAGGCCTCTGACGACCTGGAAGGGCCGGTCCTCGGGAAGGACGGCCAGGCCTCGGGGGGACCGCGCGATGCGAGAGAAGCAGGGCGTCGGATGTCTGTCAGGAGGGGGAAAAACAACACACAGACACAATTCATCTCGTCGACTCCGAGGAAGATATGGGCAGACTGGGGAAGCGGGGGAGGAGGCGGGAGCCCCGAAAAGGTGGGAGGATGTGGGGAATCCTGCGCGCCCTGCGGAGAATTCGTCGACGACGGGAACGACGAGGGGCCTGCTGCGGCGATGATGGCGAAATTGCCCAGAGAAGAGCGAGCAGGATCCGCCACTGCCTGCCATTCGTGCCTATGTCGCTGCGTGCCCCCAGGGGCCCCTTGAGCCTCGGGCGGAGCGCCCCCAGGGGCCGCCGGCACGGGCGCGTGCAGGGGAGGCCCCCTGCGCGCGCTCCCCTGCCTCGCGTCCTCGCGCCTCTCCTCGGCGGCGATCCCCGGGGGGAGGAGGTGATCAGGGGGGGGAGAAACACACACACACACACACACACACACACACACACACACACACACACACACACACACACACACACACACACACACACACACACACACACACACACACAGACACACTGAATCGTCGATGCCCCAGGAAATAGGGAAGATGTGGGAGAGAAAAACCCAGCAGATATGTGAGAATAGGGGGAGGCTGGTGATTTGTTTCTACTTGGTTGTGTGTCCCAGTTCCGCTTCGAGTGTGCAGGGGTGAGCCTCTGCGGAAGGCTCGGAAGTCCCTCAGTTTTCCCAGAATCGAGGAAGAAAAAACCGCATAAACATAGTTTGTTTGGCGCTCCACGCGGATGTCTTGGATCCGCGCCTGGGCCCCCTGGCGGCGCCTCCGGCGCCGCCCCTGGCGCGCTCCGCGCGCCAGGGAGGGGGTCCAGCGCGAATCCAAGAATCCGCGCGGAGCGCCAACAGTTTATGTTCATGTGTTTGTTCTGGTGCTTCTTCTTATTATTGTTCTTCTTCTACGAGGCGGAGGCGCTCCGCTGCAGCGTGTGGCAACTCGGGGCAGCCGAATGGCTACTTGGTTGGACGGCAAGCAGGAGAGGGAAACAGACGAGGGCGGCCACGCAGAGGGAGGGGGGAGGGAGAAGAGCACCGAGGCGAGCCCCGCAAGAAAAAACCGCGCGGAGCGCCCAGGGTTTATATGTTGATGTGGCTGTCTTCCTCTCCCTCCAGGAATGAGGTGCAGTAACTGACTCGAGACGTGGACGATCTTTGCCGTTATGCGCGGCCCACCACCTCTGCTATGGTGGGATGTGGCCTCGGTGCTAAGCGCCTCCTGGGGCTTCGCCGAGGCTCCCGGGGGCCATCCTTCGGCGCTCCCGGGGCCCTGCTGGGCCACCTCCGCGGCGCGGGCCACCTGCGGCACCGCACGGGGCCCGCGCCGCGGGCGCTCCATTTGCAGCTCTTCCGGCGTCCCCGCGTGGGGGGTCTCCGGCGAACCCGCTCCTTTCGGATCCACGCTCATGATGTTCCAGCCTACTTTACTCCAGATTTCGTAATAAAGGGGGGGGGGGTCTCATTTCGGGGGGGGTCTCTTCCAGGCTATCTTGGAGGGCCCGGGGGGTCTGGGGACGATGTTTTGGAGGGTTCTCCCACGGGGGAGGTCTGAAATGGCTTGTCTTGGAGGGTCCAGACCCCCTCCCTTTTATTACGAAATCTGGAGTAGCCTTGATCACCAGAATTTCGAGCACCAGAAAAAAGTACCGAAACTCGAGGATTCTCACGTGTCGGGCCCTGGAAGGCACTCGTCCGACACTGTTTCGACACTCTTTCGACACTCTTTCGACACTTTTCCGGGTGCTCGAAATTATTTCTCGGATGTGGTCCTGAAGTGCGTTGGGCCCGACCGCGAATCTTAAAGTCGGGCTTGTCCCTCTACAGGAAAGACAATAGAAAAATCGTTAGGAGACGATTTTTGAGCATTTGTTGAATATTTTGGAATATGTTTTGACAATGAGATTTTTTTCGCCCCAAGATCCCCCTGTAAGTGGACATGCCCGACCTAAACCCAGCCGCAGATCTCTCCGCGCTTCCCGTCGCACGCCGACTGGGTGGTGTCTCTGCGGCCCCGAGCGCGTTGCCCTCTCAAGCTCCCCATCGTGTCCGAAGCATTCCCGAGAAGCGCTCCGCCCTTCCCCGCGTATTGTTAAGACGGGCATGCCACTCTACAGGACGAACATTCCAAATAATCCAAAATAGTCAGGGGACGATTGTTTGAGTATTTTTGAACTTGGTTGGGGTATTTTTGGACTATCTTTTATTTTTCGTCCAACGTCCGCCTGCAGGGGGACACGCCCGACATAATCGTGCTCCGAACTTCCGCTCGTCCGGCAGTCGCAGCGCAGCCCCCCCCCCCCTCAGCTCCCGGAAACAGGCACGAGAATGGTTTTGCGTTTTCCGTCCGGCTCCAAGCCTTCGTCTGCTCGGCGATCCGAGCGGCTGAGCACATTTGATTCCGGCGTGAATCGTGTTGCGCATCCTGCCATGTTCGCGTCTGCGACGTCTTCTTTTTGTATGTGCGTTCGCACGTGTTCCTCATGGTACGTAGAGTTTTGGAAGTTGTTGAGTGATCGCTCAAGGCTGTCTCTGGCTGGCATGGTTCTTGTAGAGCGCCCGACCTGGCAGAGACACGGAGACAGCAATCGATTTACGGCCAGACGCTTGCTTGCTGCAGCGATCCGAAGGTCGCGTGCACGCGTGGCCCTCTGGACAGGAATGGGATACCGCCCCTCGTTTCTCTAACGGGCGTCTGTCAATCACGTCGCCTCTCGGTGCTGCATGGACGGTGCTGAGTTTTTACGTCGAGTTTGAATTCATGGCTCGAGTCTGCAGTGGACCGGATAAGCTCGCTGACTGCGGACTCCTGCGAAGAGTGCGGTGTGGCGGCGCGGGGAGTGAGTCGGGAGAGTCGCCCCCCCAGTGGGCCGCAAGGTCGGCCCGAAGAACACCGGAAGCATTTTTCGGCGGCGAGCGAGGGGGCGAAGCGAGAAGGAGGAGGTTTTCTCAAAAGGCGGCGGGACTTCTCAGAAGCCTTCGCGCCTTTGATAGTTTTTTTTGCGTATTCGGGGAAGGCTTAGAAAAGTTCTCAGAAGGCCGGGGGACTTCCGAGCCTTCTCAGAATGCCTTTTCTTCTCATTTCACCCTCAGGCTCGCCGCCGAATTCTGGAAGAGCTGCGAATCGAAGACGCGTTCGGCGAATAACCGCCGCCACTTGCACTTTGGAAAGGTACAGGAGGTCAAATATTTGGCCAAGGTCTGACCAGGCTATTGGACTATGTGTTTTCTCAGCCGTTTTGGGACCCTTCGGGGGAACACATGGGATATAGAGACAGGAGGAGGAGGATGAGGAGGAGGAGGAGAGGGAGGAGAAGGAAGAGGAGAAGGTGGTGGAGGAGGAGGAGGAGGAAGAACGGGAGGCCGTCTGAGGTCCTCTTGGAGCCTCCTTGGGGCTTCCTGGGAACCTCTTGAGGGCCTCTTGGGGGCCTCTGAGGGGCCTCTTGTGTGCATCGGCACGGCGCTGGTCTTCAAGTGCGGCCTCAAGCGCTCGGTGATGTATGGGTGCAAGTGTCTGGGCATGCCAGACCACCAGTTACGACGGCTTAGGCGAGAAGCGGGACGAGCACTGCCAGGAGGGCGTGGAGCCAAAAGCCTTACGCTGCAGCTGGCGCTTGCGAACGAGGAGCCCACCTACGAGGCTACGGAGGCACCCATTGTCCGCTGGGCGCGGGCAGTATGGGAGACATCATCAAGGGCTGGACGGTCAGAAGCGGACCCCGAGCTAGACTTGGGTCCCACAGCGCCACGTGCTGGACGAGCAGGAGTAAATCCAGAGCGCGGCGCAGGTTCCACGTCGCCACGTGCGGGACGGTCAGGGACAAGCCTCGAGCATGCCTTGGACGACACGGTGGATCTGCTGACGAAGGTGTGGAGGCGCCAGCAGCAAGAGGTGGGTATGAAGCCCATGTGGGCCAAGGTGCGTGGGCCTGCGGGAGCGGTGATCATGTCGCTCAAGCGGGCGCACTGGACTTGGCCAACTTGGCATACGGTCATCACCAAGGACGGTGACGAGCTGGACATGAGGAAGCTGTGCCCCATGGACGTGGTGGCGATGCTGAGGAAGGACGTGCAGCGGAAACCCTGGCAGGACTGGACGGCCGCGGACGAGTATGCGAGTCTACGGCCAGCACCGATGGTGGCCCCTGCGGTCGCCCAGCTGAAGGCGCGGGACTTTCCGAAGCACGCCAAGAACGCGGCGAGGAAGGCTTTCATCGCCGGGTGCTGGACCATGAGCAAGCCAAGTGCGTGCAACATCGTGCCGACGGACATCTGCTTCGCGTGCGTCGAGGCGGTGGGCACTCCGCATCACAGGTATTTCGAGTGCCAGGCCTTGAGGGTGCAGAGGCTAAAAGCGCAACCTGAGTGGCAGACGATAGCTGAGCAGCAGGAGGACAGCTTGCTCTGGACGCGGGGGCTGGTGAGGCACCCAGAGGCGGACTGGAAGTTTGAGGGTGTCGATGAAGGCCAGGTCATGTGCCATGCCGTGGAGGGCGACGAGGACTACTTCACAGGTGGCATCATGTGCGACGGGTCCAAGCTCGGTTACAGCGAGTGGGCGCAGACGGGCTGGGCCGCCATGTCGATCAACGAGAACGGGGAACCGAAGTACCAGATGTGGGGGCCACTGCCGTGCACGCTCCCAGTGCACAGGACGATCAAGCGCTCGGAGATGTGGGCCTTCTACATGGTGCTGGAGCAGAAGCTCGGCGAAGGCAACATCTACACGGACCACCAGGGCATCATCGAGGGCTTGCATAAGGGCGAGCGCTGCTGCATTGGTTGGAAGCGGCCACACGCGGACATCTGGAAGCGCATCTGGCACGAGATACGGGATCTCGACTTGGACGTGGACGGGGTGATCCATGTCAAGGCGCGCAGGTCCATGTCGAAGATCGAGCAGCTCACAGGCGCGGAGCTCAAGATCGCGAAGGGCAACGCGGAGGTTTACCTACTAGCCAAGGTGGGGGCCGAGATGGACGCGAACTATGGGAAGCACCAGGCGGTGGAGGCGCTCGCTGGCCGTGTACGCTGGGCGGTGCAGAATACTGGCTGGTGGCCAGACGTGCCAAAGCGTGAACGTGGGCGACCACTACGCCGTCGGCCGAAGCCACAGATCGCCCTGACGCGGCACGAGGTGAAGGAGTTCGGTGGCTGGATGTGGCGCGTGCGTTGCGGCAGGCGCGCGGCTACACAGCGAATGAAGAGGAAGCTCTGTGAGGCGGACTGCCAGCCGGCGCCGTGGACCACCGCGGGCGCGCGCATGTCTGGCATGGTTGGTTCCTTGGAGGCGGAGGCGGGCAGGCCTGGGGCCCGCTTTCACGGTGCCGCTAGCCAGGAAGGGCCTCAGTGCGAAGGACGACGCCAAGCGGAAGAAAAGGAACCGGATCCTGGCGCACAAGAACCCGCAGACGGGGAAGCCGCTGGACCACGAGCTCCAGCTACCAGTGCGACGTGGGTAAGCACCGCGTGGGGATCTTTGTGAAGATCTGAGTCTTGCCTGTCGGCGGGATCCGCTGCAGGAATTGGGGAGTTAAAAAAAGGCCTCTTGTGTGCATCCTGGAACCTCTTGGGGGGTCTCCTGGGGCTTCTTGGCGGCTTTTTGGCGGCTTCTTTCGGCGCTTTAAAGCTGTCTTGGAGGCGTCTGGGGCCGTCCTGGGGCCGTCGTGGAGGCCTCTTGGGCCCTCGTGAGGCCCGCTTGGGCCGTCTTGCGGGTCTTTTGGGGGCCTCTTGGGCCGTCCTGGTGCAATCTTGGCGGCCCAGCCGTTTGGGCCGTCGTGGAGCGTCGGAAACCCGAACAAGCGAGAACGCTAAGCTCATTGAAACAACAATTGAACAATTACGATGCGACGTACCCAACCCATCGGCACCAAGGGATGACATAAGGCATGTCGGCAACAGTGCGACAGCAATTTTGCAAGAGACGGTGCACGGCGGATACTTATATCGTGCGAAGTGTGCGTGGCCGACTCGCAGAACAGAGGTACACATAGTTCATTTCTAAGTTTTCGAGAGTTCTTTGATTTTTGCTGGGGGGCAAGGTCCTTTAATTTCTAACTGTTCTATCCTGGGCCTCTTCCTGGCCACTAGGGGGCCAGGAACATTTAGAAACGAGCACAATTTGAAATGAACACGATTAGAAATGAACGACGCGTGCATCGGCGGAGACGCGCCCAGGAGCCCTCGAACGCGGGGGCAGCTTCACACGTCACAGCCCCCCAAGGGATTGCGAGGTCCCGTTTGGATCTGCGTGGGGCCCCACTGTGCTGCCCCGCCCAGCAGCCCTCGAGTGCGGGGGCAGCTTCACGCTTCGCAGCCCCGAAGGGATGGCGAGGTCCCGTTTGGATCCGCGTGGGGCCCCACTGCGTTGGCCCCCCCCAAGCAGCCTTCAAACGTGGCGACGGTTTCACACTTCGCAGCCTCACCCCCCAGGGATGGCGAGGTCCCGTTTGGATTTGCGTGGGGCCCCATTGCGTTGGCTCCCCCAGCAGTCCCCGAACGCGGCGATAGTTTCACACTTCGCAGCCCCCCCAGGGATAGCGAGGTCCCGTTGGGGTCTGCGTGGTGCCTCACTCTGCTGGCTCCCCCAGCAGCCCTCGAATGTGGGGACGGTTCCACACTTCGCAGCCCCCAAGAGGGCTGCGAAAGGAGATCGCCGAGAGGAGATCGGGGGGGAGAAGGTGGAGACCCCACTGCTAAGCAATTCAAAACGAGAACCCAACCAAGAGAGGGTTGCGAAACAACAGTGGCGTTTGCCTCCTGGAGGTCCTTTTGGGGCCCTCTTGGGCCGTCTTGGTGGCCTGGGCCGTTTGGATGACATGTTGAACCGTCGTGGGACCATTTTGGCCGCTTTGGAGGCGTCTTGGGACCATCTTAGGGACCATGTTAGGCCATCTTGGCTTCCTTGAAGGCATCTTGGAGGCGTCGTGGAAGTCATCTTGGGCCATCTTGGCTGCCTTGGGGAGGTTGCTTGTTGACGCTGGGGTAAAGTATGGGTTTTTCTGCGTGGCAGGGCCATTCGGCCAAAGGCCCTGGGGAACATGGAAAAACAGGACAACCGATAGTTTGATATGTGGTGCACCAATGTGGCAAGGGGGAGGCGGATCTTTTGGCTTACGGCTTATCCCGCCAACGTGCCTGGGTCATCGATCAGAGGCTTGTGAGAGACATCTTGGTGTCACTTAGGAGGCATCATGGGAGCCTCTTGGACGGATGCGTGTTGGGGGCATCTCGGTGGCCTGGGACATCTTGTCCTGGGAACCTCTGAGGGGCCTTTTGGGGGCCAAGGGCCTCTTGGAGCCCTTGTAGGGGCTTGGAGGCGGTCCAAGGGCCATCTCGGGGTGGAGGGCTCCAAAAGCGCATCGGTTGCGACAGCGCATGGATTGCTACAGCCGGCGAACCGCAGGCCTCCACGTCGTGATTGTTTTCCCATGCGGGGTTCCCAGAAGTCCTCCGCCTCTCCCGGTCGCAGGGGAACGTGGCATCAATGCCACGCCGCCGCCCGGAGCTGGTCGGTGCTCCATCGCTTGCTGTTGTTCGACGGCGGATGGTCCCTACAAGAGGGACGCGCGGCGACGGGCCCCCCACGGCGGCGTGCCCTTGATGCTGGCTTCTACTCCAGAAGCTGGCGCCATTCCGCCGACCTCGGGCGGGAGCCCCCCGTCACCCCCTCCCTCGGAGGCCCGCAGATTCTGCTACGGATCCGGGCGAGTCGTCGGATTCCTGTATAGCCGTCGTCACTCCTTGGGCCCCGGAGGGCTGCCTATATGGGGGAAGTCTCGAGCGGGAGCCTCGCCCGTGGGCCCCGGAGGGCTGCGTAGGGGGGAGGCCTCGAGCGGGAGCCTCGCCTGTGAGTGAGCTGTGAGGCAGGCTCAGGCGGGAGCCCCCCTCCACTGTGCGGCCCGCAGATCCTGCTATTGATCCGAGCGGGTCATCGGATTCTTGTAACTGTCGTCACATTCTGGCCTGCGAGGCCTGCGTCTGGAGGAGGTCTCCAGCGGGAGCATCGTCTGCGAGTGACTTGCGATGAAGTCTCAGGCGGGAGCCCTTCCCCCCGGGGCCTCACAGTTCTCGCAGGCCCAGCAGGTGCCGCAGGCCCCACAGGTCGCGCAGGTGCCACCGGTCCCACGGGCCGCACAGGCCCCGCATGTCGCACAGGTCACATAGATTCCACGGGCCCCGCGGGTCCTGCAGGTCATGCAGGTCGAACAAATCTTCGAAGTTCTGGGTGTCCCGCAGGCCCCACGCGCCCCACGACGCCCGCAGGCCCTGCAAGTCCCACAGGCCCCACAGGTCCAACGAGCCCAAAGGTCGCACAGGTCCAGCTGGCCCCACAGGCCCAACATGCCATGCAGGTCCCTCAAATACCAGGGGCCCCAAAGGTCCCACAGGGCCCGCAGGCACCACAGGTCCCACAGGTCCAACATGTCCCACAGGCCGCACCCTCGCATGTCCCACAGGTTCCACGGGCTCCACTGGTCCCACAGGTCCTGCAAGTCCCACAGGTCCACAATGTCCCACAGGGCCCGCAAGTCCGACATGTTCCACAGACCCACAGGCCCAACAAGCCTCACAGGTCGCACAGCTCCCACGGGTCCTGCAGGTTTCAAACGTCCCTCACGACGCATCATGGTATCCTCGCATTTTGGCATCATCACCATCGTTAGTCGTCGGTGGGGATGGTTCTAATTCGCAATAAGGGGATTCTCACGTAGGGTCCTCCCGCTGGAGTATCTTTTTCCTTTTATTGCGCCTGCCCCGGGGGATGGGTCAGTCCTGCCCCTGTCGAGGATAGCTCGCTTTTGCGCGTCACAGAACGCACTCAGAGCAGTCCAGGACGCCCTGGAACAGGCCGCGGAGCCCGACGCCTCATCCAGATCCGCCAGTTCTCAGAGAGTCCAAGGTCCCATATATGTTTTTTGTTCAATCCGCGGCCCAAGGCCTCAGTTGTTTCCCCTTTCCGGAGTCATTAGTTGTGAATCGTCACGGATTCGTTTTTGATGGTCCAGGGGCCCGATAAGGGCCCCCCCCTGGCCTTGATCATCGGATGCCGTAATGTTCTGGTCGCGCCCGACGAGGTCTGTCGTTACCGATTTTGCTTCAAGTTCTAAATTCGGTCGCGATCGGTCGCGACTGATTTGGAGTGCCGATGCTACCGATCGCGACCGAACAGCAACCGCCATCCAATGATCTGGGGGACGCCGAACTGGAGGAAAGATGCCGGGATCGAAAGAACCAGATCGTCGGAGATTCCCGATGTGTGTCCTCGTCCGATGGCGTCCTCATCCTGCCCTCGTCCCGCGCAGGGCGCGGAGTCTTCCGCAGAGGCCAGCCGGCCTGGGATCCTACGCGGGGAGTCATCCGTCACGCCCGCCTCGGGGATGGACCTCTGGGACCTCGGTCGGCGGTGGAGCTCGGCGGGCTGGGGACCGCGGCGGGCGGCGGAAGGCGGCGGCCCGGCGGGGGACCTCTTGGCGGGTGGAGGAGCTGTTCTGGCCCCCGGGGGGCCAGGTGTATCCACACCCACCGCCTGCCCAGACCTCCGACGTCATGCTTCTGTTCAGGACGTGTGCCCCCCGGAAGTCTGGACCCCTCCGCCAGGGAAGTCTGGACCCCTCTGCCAGTCGTGTTCTGGTGGTCCCGGTCTGCCGGTGCAGGCGTAGAACATTGCGCGTGGAGAAGATTCCTCCGTGCTTTGGTGCACGACGCTTGGAGGTCTGGGTGCCGAGGTCCCCGAAGATGGGCCCCCCATCGCGAGCGACGGACGTGTCCGTATCCGCGCCCTCGCGGTCCGGATTTCCGGGCGCGATCCCGCGGCGACGCGCTCGCACGGATGCGTTCCGCGCGGGGCCTCCGCGGAGAAGAAGAAGCAGCGCCCCACATCCGCGGGGGCCCGGACCCTGTGGGCCCCGGCCCGCGAGGCCGCAGGTAGATTGCGGAGCCATGTTCTTCGCCCACGACCCCGGGGCGGGTCGTGATGGAGGTATGGATCCCCGCCTCGCACTGGGGTGGGGCGCCCCCGCGCTTCGCGGCCCGAGTGGGAAAGACAGGACGGCGACGGCGACGACGACGGCGACGACGACGACGACGACGACGACGGCGACGGCGACGACGACGACGACGGCGACGACGACGACGGCGACGACGGCGACGACGACGACGACGACGACGACGGCGACGGCGACGACGACGGCGACGGCGACGACGGCGGCGACGGCGACGACAACGGCGACGACGGCGACGGCGACGGCGACAGCGACGACGACGACGACGGCGACGACGACGACGGCGACGGCGACGACGGCGACGACGGCGACGACGACGACGGCGACGGCGACGACGACGGCGACGGCGACGACGACGACGGCGACGACGGCGACGACGGCGACGACGGCGACGACGGCGACCCACACGGCCCACACGACCCGCCACGTCTGGGGGGCGCGCG